GTTATTTTTGTCAATATTTCTCTGTCTTTACTTCAAGTTTAGCTGTCATTTTGTGTACTAGAGTGCATGACACAATTTCAAGAAAAAATATTATTGTCTAGTGTTATTTTGATTCTAATTTGTCATAATATGATTATTTTCTATTATGATCAGATAAATTGAACAATAAAATCCATCTCATGTTTTAAATTTTGCCTTAGTTTTAAAGAATTATCTCTTTGCCTATTATTTTATTGACAACAGAATAATGCTGGATATTACTGAGTGTACAATTAACTTACAGGACACATAACAAGTTGCATAAGAAAATCTCAATATAGTTCAGTAGAGTCATCATAACTGTACGGTTTACTGTAGAATGGAAATTTGTATGTGCAAGAGACAAATTGGGTAACATTGTCAACTCTTGTGAGCCATAAAGCCAGAAATGAGGCCGGTGAAGTGTAGTAAAAGGCCACAGTTTATGCCTTTGTTCTAGAGCTAGGCTTGACTTAAAAATGTCCTTAGCAAAGGTCTAGAAGATATGTCTATACACTTCAGAGAATATAGTCATGGGACACAGCCACATTAAATGTAACTATCCTAGGCAGACCAGACTTCTCTAATGAATAATTTCCAGAAGGGACAAGATTGTGGCACCACTTTTAAGTAGATACTAGTCATAAACAAAGGACAATGAGCCTATAGTTCTGAATCCTAGAGAAATTAAGTAATAAAGTGAACCTAAAGAAAAACATATATAGACCCACCTGGAAATTTGAATCAGACAAAAATTTGGGAGCAGGGTGGGCAGGGAGTAGAAGGAAGGAGAAAAGGGGAGGGTTGAGGAGAACTTGAGGGAATGGGATAGTTGAGATGGAGGAAGGACAGAGATGAGAGCAAGGAAAGACATATCTTGATTGAGGGAGCCATTATGGAGTTAGCAAGAAACCTGGCTTTAGAAAAATGCTCAAGAACCCACAGGGATGACCCCAGCTAAGACCTTAAGCAATAGAGGAGAGGATGTCTGAACTGACTTTACCCTGGAGTCAGACTGATGATTATCTTAAATATCACCATAGAACCTTCCTCCAACAACAGATGGGAACAGAGGCAATGTCCACATCGAATCACTGGACTGAGCTCGCAAGATCCAGTTGGAGAGTGGAAGGAGTGAGAATATGTATTTATATTAAAAGAGCTAGTGTAGATATCAAGTAATCTTTTGTGGCATTTATTCTTCTCATTTAAATTGCCGAATAGAATTCTATGCTCTACCTTCAGTTTTAAACTTCACTCAGCATGATATTTTTTTTTAGTTACAACCATTTGACTGCAAATTTCCTGTTGTCATTGTTCTTAACAGTTGACTAATATTCCATTGTTTAAATTTACCATACTTTCTTTTTTTTTTTAATTGAGAAAAGGAGAAAAAAAAACAAGTTTCCACCTCCTCCCAGCCTCCCATTTCCCTTCCCCTCCTCCCACCCTACACCCCCTCCTCCCACACTTCTCCCCGTCCCCCCACTCCTTTCCCCCTCCCTCTCCAGTCCAAAGAGCAGTCAGGGTTTTCTGCCCTATGGTAAGACCTAGGACCTCCCCCCTCTGTCCATATCTAGGAAGGTGAACATCCAAACTGGCTAGGCTCCCACAAAGCCATCACATTACGTAGGATCAAACCCCCGTGCCATTGTCCTTTGCGTCTCATCAGCCCTCATTGTTCGCCATGTTCAGAGGGTCCAGTTTTATCCCATGCTTTTTCAGTCACAGTCCAGCTGGTCTTGGTGAGCTCTCAATAGATCAGCTCCACTGTCTCAGTGGGTGGGTACATCCCTCGTGGTCCCGACTTCTTTGCTCATGTTCTCCCTCCTTCTGCTCCTCATTGGGACCTTGGGAGCTCAGTCCAGTGCTCCAGTGTGGGTCTCTGTCTCTATCTCCATCCATCACCAGATGAAGGTTCTATGATGATATGCAAGATATTCGTCAGTATTGCTCTAGGATAGGGTCATTTCAGGTTCCCAATCCTCAGCTGCCCAAGGAACTAACTGGGGACCTCGGCTTGGGCACCTGAGAGCCCCTCTAGGGTCAGGTCTCTTGCCAACCCTAACGTGGCTCCCTTAACTAAGAATTGTGGTTCCGTGCTCCCCTGTCCAACCTTCCTTTATCCCAATTCTCCTGTTTTCCCAAGGCCCGACCTCCTTCCCTTCTAACTTTTCTCTCCCCATCTCCCCTTACCCCCATCCCAACCCCCCCTTCAAGATCCCAATTTTCTCCCCGGCAATTTTGTCTACTTCCCTTAGCCAAGAGGATATCTATATGTTTTTCCTTGGGTTCCCCTTATGACTTAGCTTCTTTAGATTCGCCTATTGTAGACTCAGTGACCCTTCTTTTCTAGTCTCAGTTGTTTTCATGTTCTGGCTATTACAAATAAAACTGCTATGAACATTGTTGAGCAAGTGTCCTTGTGGTATGATTGAGAATACTTTGGGTATATGCCCAAGAGTGGTATTGTTGCATCTTAATGTAAATTGATACTCAAATTTCTGAGAAACTGCAATATTGATTTCCAAATTGGCTGTACAAGTTTTTGCACTATCACCAAAAATGGAGGAGTGGTTCCCTTTGCTCAAAATCCTTTCCAACATAAGCTGTCATTTGTGTTTTTAATACTAGCCATTCTGATAGATGTAATATGGAAACCTTGGAGTCAATTTGGATTGCATTTTCCTGATATTGAAGGATATTGAACATTTCTTTAAGAGTTTCTCTGCCATTTGAGATTCTTCTCTTGAGACTTCTCTGTTTATATTAGTACTCAATTATTTAATTAGATTATGTCTAACTTCTTACATTCTTCATATATTTTATATATCAGCTTTCTGTCTGATGTGGACGTGGTCAATATTTTTGCTTCATTCTGTAGGCTGTCATTTTATTCCATTGACAGTATCTTTTGTCTTTCAGAAGCTCTTCAGTTTTATGAGGTCCAATTTCTCAATTGTCAGGCTTAGTGTCTTAGTGTTACTGTTTTTTTTTATTATTATTGTTTAGGAAGTTGTCTCCTTTACCATAGTATTCAAGGCTGTCATGCTCAGTATAGCTCGATTTATGTTGAAGTCTTTGGTCCACTTAGACTTCAGTTTTAAGTAGAGTGATATATATCTATTTTCATTCTTATACACGTGGACATATTGTTATGCCAGCAGTGTTTGTTGAAGAGGGTTTCTTTTCTCCATTGTATAATTTTGGTTTTTTTGTCAAAAATCAAGTATCCATAGGTGGGCGGATTTATTTCTTGGTCTTTGATCTATTCCATTAATCAATCTGTTTGTTTTAATGCCAATTCCATGTTGTTTTTATAACTATAGTTTTATAGTACAGATTGAGATCAGGGGATAGTAACACCACATGCAATTCACTTATTGTACAGGACTATTTTAGCATCTTATTTTGTTTTAATTTTTTGTTTTTGCTTTTTGATATGAAATTGACTATGGGTAGATGGTTTCAGTGCAGAATTCTTCCAAACTTTCAAAGAAGAGATAATACTAGTACTCTTCAAAGTATTTTACAAAATAGAAATAGAGTGATCCTTGTCATATACATTTTATGAGGTCACAGTCACCCTGATATCCAAAAAAAAAAAAACTCAACAAAGAGAACTATAGACAAGTTTCCCTCATGAACACTTTTGCAAAAACAAAAACTCAATAAAATACACATCAAAAAGATCATCCACCATGATGGCTACATGGCTACATCCTATAGAGGCAGGGATAAGAATATCTGTCAATGTAATCCATCATATAAACATACTGAAAGAAAAAAATATGATTACCTCATTAGATGCTGAAAAAGTGTTTGACAATATCCAACACATCTTAATTATAAAAGTCTTGGAGAGATCAGGGATACAAGGGGCCTACCTAATCATAATTAAAATCAATATACAGAAAGCTGAGAGCCAATATCAAATTAAATGGTGAGAAACTCAAAGCAATTCCACCAAAATCAGCTACAAGAAAAGACTGACTTTTCTCTCCACATCTATTTAATGTAGTACTGAAATTGTAACAAATGTATCTGTATCATGAAGTAAAACTTAAAAAAATCAAATCTTTGAAAATTTTGTACAATGCACTTTGATCACAACCACTACTTCTCCTACTCCTTCCAGATTCATTCCACTAGCTTACTTGCCAACATTGTGCCCCTCCCTTCTTTTCTTGTCTTATACTACTTGTGTTGCTTATATATGTGTGACCCTTTTCTTGGGATATGGTCCTCTAACCAGCACTACACTTCTATAAAAACCTGATAGTTCCTCTACCAAGACCAATCAATTTCAATAACTCCTTGACCAGAGCTGGAACTTCTTGTGCAATTCTAACCTCCCTATTGGGATGTGGTACATCTTCTGCTTGCATGGGTCTTGTGCTGCTGTTACAACTGCTAAGAATTCCTATGGGCAGCTACCCTGTTATCCCAGGAACACACTTCTTCTTGTAGTCATTCGCCACCTTTGGCTCATATGTTCTTTCCACTCCTTCATCTGCAAAGATTTATGAGACTTGCTTATGTGTGTACTGTAGATGTGCTGGGCATCTCACAATCTCTTATCTCTTATTTTCTGTACCTTGCTCAGTTGTATGTCTCTGAATTAAGCAACACCTATTGTAAATAGAAGACTGAGTGATAAGGGTTAGGAAATATATCAAGTAAAACTTTTCAAGCAAGCCCTTTTAACTGTGTGCCTGGTGTGCTGGTATCCACATCATTTAATTTTTTCTGCATGAATGAAGGCTATGGCTATAGATATTTTGGTGACGTACGACTTTTTGTATGATTTTCACTTGTATCAATGCCTCTGATAATAAGATCAAAAATATTTTCTTGTGGCAAGAAAGCCTTAACTTTTAATCAGGATTGAGACAAAGGCTTGATTTAAGAATTCTCTTGATACGCCTTAGCTCTCCTCTCTGGGGCAGACATGATGAAGCTCCGACCCAGGATGGACGTAGGCTAGAATCTTCCTGTGCTGGTCCCAAAGGTGACAACATCTATGAGTGGAGATCAACCATTCTTGGGCCCCCGGGATCTGTGTATGAAGGTGGTGTGTTCTTCCTCGATATAACTTTTACACCAGAGTATCCCTTCAAGCCTCCAAAGGTTACATTTCGTACAAGAATTTATCACTGTAATATTAATAGTCAAGGAGTTATTTGCTTGGACATATTGAAAGACAACTGGAGCCCAGCACTAACCATCTCGAAAGTTCTCCTCTCTATCTGCTCACTCCTTACAGACTGCAATCCTGCTGACCCTTTGGTGGGAAGTATTGCCACTCAGTACATGACCAAGAGAGCAGAACACGACAGAATGGCCAGACAGTGGACCAAGAGATACGCTACATAAACTGGGTTTTCAGTTCTTACATTATCTGTCTGTCACAGAAGAGAGCTGCTTATGATTTTGAAAGGGTGGGGGAGGGTGGGAATTGGTAAAGAGTAGGGTATTTCTATAACAGATATTATTCAGTCTTACTTCCTAAGATTTTGTTGTAACTTAAGGTATCTTGCTACAGTAGACAAATTGGTAATAGTGACTTTTAGAGCTATCAGTTTTGCGAGATTACCTTACTTTTAGTACAACAGGAAAGAATGCGCGTGTAGACACTTGGGTTTCATTGAGTGTAGTCTACTGTAATTTCTAAATGAGCTTACATTTGTATAGGTTACACACTTGGCCATTGATGCAAAGTCCTATTTTCTTCTTTTAAAAAGTTGGAATTTGTTTTTCCTGCTTAGAGGAAAACAATGGTATTTAACAGTTTGTAGAGATTGTTACCTCGTATATGTAAAATGGACACCTGGCTATGAGACACCATGTAGGAAACGAGTAGTTAATGTATTTTATTTCATATGCAAGTTACTTTAAAGGTTGAAACAGGATTTGTGGAACCCTGTAGTGAAATACCTTATGCTGTTAACTGTAGGCATGAAATAGGAACTGCTCAGTGGACTGGTTATGTGTTTTAGACTTCTTATGTCTGCATTTGTTACTGTGCTAATAAACAATATTAAGAACAAAAAAAAAGAATTCTCTTACTGAACTGAATGGCAGCATCTAGTATATTCTCAACTACTGTGTAGATGGGCAGTGATTTTTGAAAAGATTTGACATGTTTTAATCATATCTTTAGACACAATCATTATACTTGCTCTGTGCTAAAATATTGTTGCTTCATTTCAGAATTATTCAAGGGGGAGGAATAATTTTAATGCTTCATTCTCCTAGAAAATTTGAGCATATTTACTCTCACCCTCAAGATCCTGAGGTAACCATTACAGATGCTACTAAACAAAATGTGGTCTATTTTATACTGCCAATATAGAGAGTTGGGGGTACTCAATTATGCAAACAATGGAATATGGAAAAAGCACTTCCACGAGACGAAACTGATAACTACAAAGTCCTGTCAATACACTGTGGCAGAAATCTCTAGAACCCTGTGAACAACAAAAGCTTAGAAATATATCCTTTAGATGATTTTAACATTGAAATATGGAATCTTACTACCTTCCTTACTAATAGAGACAGCATTCAGATTGCAGCTTCCCACCAAACTGATCTGACACTTGTGATGTAGAGGAAAAGTAAAATTGTGACATTAATTCAAAATATTCAAGAATAATTCTGCCACTTTTTTGACAGAATTCTGACTTTATCTGAGAGAAGTAAGGTTGTGTTTCTCAGTATTTCTGCATCTACATTCATGAGTCAGTTTTGTATTTCCAGAGTTCACAAGTTATACAAAAATGTTATGTTTGAGTTCATTGTTACCAGGAACATATATGTGTGCATGAATGTGTCTAAAGAAATTATCATCTAAAAGTATATAAATCCTCAGTGTGATGAATTATAAGAAAGTGATCAATGTATAGTGATGTTATAAGATAATATATGTCAGTACATTGTACTATGATCATAATGAGTCCTGATTTTAACAGTTTTAAAAAGAAGTAAATGACCCCAGCAATTAATTAGCTTATGGATAATAACAAAGAGACAGACCTAGGATTAAAGCAAGTTTCCTATTGTAAGCCATATATTCTGCTCCATTCCTTAAGAATAGTTGAGTGGAGAACTCCCAGACCATGTGAGAAGGGTTAATTCTGTGTCAGCTATCACAGCAGGTTGTCAAGGTTGTTCGGGTCAGGGTTTAAGCTTTAAGCAAGAGCAGAATTTAATTAGAAAGGAAAAGCCATCGAATACAAGCTGCAATGGTAAACAAAACGAAGAGATTTACTTGTGAAAAAAAGAGATGAAAAGGGATACAGTCCTTTGTATGAGACTGTGAAAAATTATCATTCATTTCAGTCAATTTCCTTTTAGAATTCAGAAGGACAGATGGTACCAGAATGGGATGTTTCCTACAGTCTGAAGTTACAGCAAACTTCCCATTTGTAAAACTAAGATTTAACACTTCGCAGCTTTAGTTTTAGACATCTATGGTGTATGAAGGTCTATGAATCAGAGAGACCCTACAGTAAAACACAAAATGGAAAAGCTATCCAGGTGTTTTTATTTTGCTGTAAACAGGTAAGAGGATAATGACTGAGCCCACTCTTTATATAAATCAATTCCTTTTCAGTTATGGAAGGGTCACTCTGTACCCAGTTCTTTTTCTTTGCTGTCAAATCCTTGATCTGTGCTTTTCCCCAAGTCCTGGGGCTACATGCTTATTAACCAATTATGTAGACTGATTTACTTTAGTACTTAATCATTAGAAGTAGGTATCTGTTGAAATAGTAAACGGAATAGAAACAAATAATATATTCAACTTGTTACCAAAAACTGAGGGAAACAATATCTGACTATTAGAAACTCGAGTCACATGGGTTCCTAACACCAGTGTTCTTTGGGAATCCTCGTTGAATCACTGAACTCACTGAAGTATATTTTACTGTATAGACTTATGCAATTAGAGTTTTTTTTATTTCTTACTGCAATTATATATCTTATATAAGAAATTGATAGAATTCATATATAAACAAGCTATAGCTAGTTATAGGTCCAATATTCTAATGACACTGTAGCAATACTATATACTATTTAGCCAAAAAATATAGTATGATACAAAATTGTAAAGAAAAATGAATGTGTAGCAAAAGATCATATAGAATAGTAGATGTACTTCCCACAGGGCAGGGAACCCTGATTGCTCTTCGGGCTGACGAGGGAGGGGGACTTGATCGGGGGAGGGGGAGGGAAATGGGAGGCAGTGGCGGGGAGGATGCAGAAATCTTTAATAAATAAATAAAAAGAGAAAGAGCAAAAAAAAAGAATAGTAGATGTTTACTAAGTAGAAGTTCAAAGTAATATTGAAGATTTTACTGATATAATTTTATTTGTTATTTTATAATTATTTTATTTTTAAAAGAAAAAAAAACGCCATCTTTTTTATATTACATGTCAATACCAGTTCCCACTCCCCCTCCTACTTCCACTGACTCCACACACCCCCATACACTCCTAAGGGAGGGTAAGGCACATTGACTTGGGGAAGGTCCAAGGCCCTCCCTACTCTATCTAGCCTGAGCAAGGTATCCATCCAAAGAGAAGACATTATCAAAAATCCAGTACAAGCAGTGGGCATAAATCCTAGTTCCACTGCCAGTGGCCCTGCAGACTGCCCTATCCATACAATTGTCATCCACACTTAGTGGGACTAGTTTGGACCTATGCTGTTTTGTTCCCTGTCCCGGATGGAGTTCCTAAGCTCCCAGGTAAACTGTCTCAGTGGGTGTCCCCATCCTGGTCTTGACCTCTTTGCACATATTATCACTCCTCCTACTCTTCCTCTGGTCTTTGGGAACTTAGTTGAGTGCTCTGCTTCAGGTCTCTGTCTCTGTTTCCATCAGTAGCTTTCATGGTTTCCATAGAGAAGTCAGGTGTAATTCTGATTGGTCTACCTTTATATGTTACATCACCATTTTCCTTTGAAGCTCTTAATTTTGTCTCTTTGTATGTTTTGTGTTTTATTATATGGCAAGGGGACTTTTCATTATCCAGTCTATTTGGTGTTCTGTAAACTTCTTGTACCTTCATAGGAATATCCTTCGTCAGACTGGGAAAGTTTTCTTCTATAATTTTGTTGAATATATTTTCTGGGTCTTTGAGCTGGAGTTCTCCTTCTTCTACCCCTGTTACTCTTAGGTTTGATATTTTCATGGTGTCTTAGATTTCCTGTATGTTTTGTGTTAAAAATTTGTTGGATTTGATGTTTTCTTTGATAAATGATCTATTTTCTCTATAGTAACGTTTTCTTGGGTTTCTTTGAGAGATTGATTGATTTCTTCAATTTTTTTATTGTATTTTCCTCCATTTCTTTAAGTGAATTTTATTTCCTTTTTTAAGGTCTCATCATCATTTAAAATAATTTTCTGCTGCTTCTTCTGGTTTAGGATGATCAAGTCTTCCTATTGTATAACCACTGGGCTCTGATTTTATCATTTTGCATTTTAAGATGTTGGATGAATTCTTGCGTTGCTGCCTACCTGTCTCTTCCTTCAGTTGGTGCCAGCAGTATCTTTTCCTCTTGGCCCAATCCTTGCAGTGGCTGTCTGTATCTTTGGGAACTATTCTTGGTGTGTTCTGTACTGTCACTGTCTGCATCTCAGGGAGCCACTGTGATCTCTTCTGGCCCTCTCTCTTGGCCTGTTTTCTTGATCTGCTCTCTTTGCTTGTTCTTTTTGTGCACTCTGTGCAGTCACTGCTTGTGCTTCAGAGTTTGTCTCTTGGTCCTCTCTCCTGGTCTTCTCTCTTGGTTTTTCTTTTTTTTTGTGTGTGTGTGTGTGTGTGTGTGTGTGCAGTAATAGACTGTGTTTCATAATTCCACTAAGGTTGCAGGGAACAGAAAGGAGGGCTTGGGGACAGAGTGGGTCTTGTAGCTTTCATGGACTGTTGGATGGTATGGGGATGTTGGAGCCTTACCAATTTAATTTTAAATGCACCATTTTAACTTAATCATATATATATATATATATATATATATATATATATATATATATATATATATATAACTAAAATGCCTTGTGTTTTAGGAAATTGATCCTACCTATACATTCCAGAACATAGATGGTCAGAGATTTGGGGTCTTGTGTCACAGTGACTACTCATGTGCAATTGGTGGGTATACATATTTTATATCCTATCATGGGAAGAATAAAGTCAAATTGCTTCCCAGGAGAATGTGATATGGTTTATAATAACATTTACAAGTAAGATATTGATGAGTTTGAGAAAGTATGGCAGTTCTGGATCTTTCTTAAAATTAATAAGAGACTTTTTCTTCTCTCCGAGTCCATTGGGTGGTCAGGACAGAAGTTATTCTCTTCTGAGATCATATACAGAGGATCCAAGTTGACCTTAAAAGAGAAAATATCCTTAATACATTTATTTGTCTTAGCCTGTATCCTATTGCTGTGATAAAGACCATGAACAAAATCTATTTTGGAAGTAAAGGTCTTATTAAGCCTTATAATACATCAGGAAGAAAAGTCAGAGAAGGAACTAAGCAGTGTAGGAACCTAGAGATGGGAACTAAAACAGAGACAATAAATGAATGTACTTCCTCCCCTGTTCAACCTTCTAACTTATACTACACAACTACCAGCTCAACGGTAGCATGTTCTCAGTTGGCTGGTCCTGTTAACATCAATCAATAATTAAGAGAATGTTCTGAGATCTGACTGTAGTCAATATGGTGCAAAATTTATCAATTGAGATTTTTCTTTCAAGACAAGTTTTGCTCTTGTCAAGAACAGCTGTACCCCATTCCAGGTCTCATGGTTGAACAACAAACATAAGTAAACTTGGACTACCCCAGTTAATACTCCCAAATAACCCAGAGGGAGCCACAAGGAGAAGAATAATTGCTCAT